TGAACCGGAAGATTCCCTGCGTCAATCCGTTCCCTTGGCCGAAGCTATTGACGACTATGAACGACGGTTGGCGGCAAAGTCCGGGCAACCTACACCAAAAAGGAAAGTGGTCCTGACCACCCCTCCTTCGGTAGCACCCCGGAACAGCACCCCAGAACAACCGAAACGGAAAGCACCTGCTCGCAAGAAAAGGTGACGCTCCCGGGACGGTTCGCTTCTGAGGGGGAGGGATGTAGCAAGCTACATTTACCTTAGAATATCTTTAAGCTATTAAAGCTTAATCACAGTAACGGTACGGTCCCGTATTTACGAACCATACTCGTTAACTGTACGAACTCACTTTCTGGTACGCTATCACAACCTAGCGTACGGCACCAAGACTCCAGGAATGGAGATGGCGGCAGGTGGGCCGCATTTAAGCCACCCAGGTGAAGTGCTTCGGCCAGACACTTAACGTATCACTATACTAGTGTTCAGGGTTCAAGACCTTGCTGTCACCGTTCTCGACGTATGTCTTCGAATCCCGACTTCCCTTGTCTCTTCTCACGCCTAACGCTGGGTCGCCAATCGTGGACGAGACCCTCTACTTCCGCTAAAACAGCTAAGGTAAGAGACGGCTGTTACAGGGACCTACACAAACACCGAGTTCAATGTGCTCCTCGAGGAGGGCCACAAGTACAGAAAAGAGTTCGAGGTGCAGTACGGCGCCAAGCCTGCAAGCAGTAAGTCTCCCTACCTTATCAGCCATCGGTATCCTGCACTAGCTTCCATCCCCAGTGCCTGCTTCCCATCTGCAAGGCTATGCAGCCACGGCACCCCCATCGGTCACACCCCGCTGCATGCCTTTACTTCCACCGCTATCCCACGACCCTCACGTTGACCCTCGCGTCCTCCATGCCGATGCAGCATACTTGTACAACATCACGGCGGAAATCCATGAGGGTGACATGCCGGACCGGGCCACGGCCACACACATGGCCGTGATGCAGCTGTGGATCACGGCTGCTGGGAGCCTGCATGCCGAAACAGCCATCGCTCTTATCTATGACTACGGCATGGACGCTGGCACCATCCTGGGTGCGGACCAAGAGTTCGTGCACTCGGTGCTAACAACCGCTACACAGGCGCGAGTGTCGGGTGCCCTCCTGTCGATGACACCTACGAAACGTCCAGCAACCAGCCCCACCGCGCCCAATTCAAGTGCCTCCTCCCACACGTGACTCTACACCATCACGTGCACACCAACCGGAAGGGTGTATGTCGGCTGATCCAAAAATCCTCAACGGTGCTTCCTAGCTCATGCCCGCACCCCACCCACCCAAATGAAGGATGACGCCCGCCGCTACCAACCCTTCCAAGACCACTTCACCTTGAAGTGCCTCATGTCCACCGTGAATCCTAGACTCGCCGACAAGATGGAGGCCTTCTACATTGCACAGTACAGCTGCCTGGGGCCAGGTGCTGCACGGGCCACCTTCCGCCAGCCCAGCCTTCTACGTGATGTTCCAACAACGGGCCGGTACCGCCCACATGCCGCCCGCTGCGACAGTCCAAGACACCGCCCAAGCCACACTTGCCATGCCCAACCAGCAACTGGGCACTTGACGGCTGGTGTCCAGCCACATTCTGCGCTACCCTTCTGGACATTAGGCACCATCGCACCTCACGTTGCATACATGTACGACCATGACTCCTGCACGCTACCCTTCTGGACAAAGAGCACTGGATGTTGTTAGGCACCATCACACTTCACCTTGCATACATGTACGACAGTGACTCTTGTGTGAACTGCGGCTGGTGCCCATACAGACACCAGTGTTTTGGGGGGTCTGTTTTGGGTGGTGCCCCTACCGACACCAGCGTTGGGGTTGGTATGCTGCACCATTCAAGGACGGCTCGTCACATGCTCGGGTCCATGGACGGAAGCGTGCGAGTTTACCCATCGTGTTGCCTGTTTTTGCATTTCCCTCCAAGCGAGAGGGCTTGTTTCTATGCCTTGATGTTCGTTACAAGACGTGAGCTGAGGACTGACGCTACAAGTACTGTATACGCGTTGCTGGGCCGGCAACGACACGCGCCCACGATGAGAGGACTGCATGTACATTCGCCCGTGCGCCGAGCGCCTTGTAACACGCTTCAACTACACTCACAATACAATATACTGCTGCACTCTTCTCTCCAATCTGGCCGCACTACGTTTCACGGGCGTACTTCGGCACCTTCCACAACAACACATACTTAGCAAACGCGGGCAGCTGCTTCACCAGGACCCCATTGTTTGTTGGCAGCGTATGGCATCATTATCGTGGGCATGGACGCCACCTAAAAGACCAACAAATGGAACTTCCCGCTGTATCTCTTCAACAAGGTCATTGACCATGGCCACGGCATCAATGAGAGGCTGTAACACTGGCATATCTGATTTGTATGAAGTTAAAATGCTACATTACTTTTTACTTGGGGGCAAAGGGTGGTTTAGAGCGGAAACACTGAGATTCGAGGACAATCTTCTCTCGTCTCCTTCCGGCCTTTCAGTGTTTCATTGTTTGTTACAGATAACGGCATTTGTCTATGGAGCAACAACTAACGGGTCATCCGGTCACTCTGCTGTACGAGCCTTTGGCACTTTGGGCTGTACGAGGTCGAACCAGGCCGATTGTGGATGAATTTATCAGGTTGGTTTCATATATGTCTAGAGGTCTGCTTATCTTTGGAGCCTGTCTTAGGAGTCCTATCTCGGAGGATACCCATCTAACAAGAAGTTCAAAAATTATTTGCGTCGGGTAGCGTTTCAGCTGTTTTAACGCGCCATGAGCAGCTGGCCTAGCGAGTGCATCCTGACATCCCACAAAAATCAAAAGATTCCACGTGTCGGATTCCAACGCATAACAAGCTGGCTGGCCTTTAAAGCGGCCATGGACGTTTCCGGCTACTTTCCACTTTCTAAACTTGCCATGTTCGACCCAACGTCTGTCTTCGCCGCCCGAGATTCACAAGAACTTGACGCCGCTGTCCTGAAGAGCCTTGTGAGGTTCCTCAGCGAGCCAATCGCTTTGTTCAAGGAAGCCGTTCTCCGCCCAGGCGATAAGGAGGAGCCCCCCTACCTCCTTGTCTACACAATCCTGTCCCAACTGGCATTGCTAAGTTTAGACCCAGGTTCACTGGTCATCCTCCCAGGCGGTGCGCACCTGTTTATTGCCTCCTTCGATGCGAACTCTCCTGCTTTCAATGTTATTTTCTCGGTCCTCAGGCACTGATTATCCACTTGCGGACGGGTCTGCACATCTGGCCGGTGATCTGTTTGAAGAGGCCTCGTCCGATGAAGAACAGCAGTGGGAGGGGGAATTCAGGCAATCTGCGCGGTACGGTGAGTGTCGCCTGCCTGCATGGCAGGGCACAAACTGGGATGTAGACTTGCACTAGTGTGCAGGAGGGAACCCTGTGCATGAGCATAGATGCAACTAATGCCTCTTCAGCTCTAGCAGTACATTACAAGTTACAAGCTCCACATAATGGGGTTGTTTGTAGCAGCAAGGGAGGCATGGGCAACAATAGCAGTGATGAATGCTGCATGGAGGGCCAGCTGGAGCTGCATGGGCAAAGGTTGTTACTTTGATGCCAAGCAATGGGACATGGTCATCCTCCCCCTTGCGCCTGGGCTGAAACCTCTTATGAATAAAACTGTTCATAGGTACATGGGGCCTCGGCTAAAGTAGTACACAGCTCGCGCCCGCGGAGGACAAGGTTTCTCCATTCTCCATTTGAGTCGTAGATTGCATTAGATGCAAATGCCATGACAAGGCAGCCCCAGTTTGAGCGAGCCACACCAGCCGCGTTCCCTTACTAGGGGGTGATCCCATCACCAATTCATCTCGTGGTTACATTTATTAGTAAAGCCTATCTGCATCTCAATAAGCGGCTCGGTGTGAGCTAACCCATGCCTGGAGATGAGATGCCTCAGGGTAAACAAATGGTGCTGCCATGCCATTGTGGTTGGGCAATCCGCCACCTGCATATCATGCTGATGCCACTCCCACAACCTGCCCGGCTCGCGGCTCATGTACTCTTCCTCACAGAGTTTGGTAGCTCAGCATTCCATTGCTTTAGTGTACAAATTGTGAAACGGACCCTCCATGGGCGGACCCGGATGAGTAATAGGAGATGTTCCCCATGTCAGATGGGGGCTAGGAAGTCCCCTGGCTGCTGGTGTATTTCATGTTGGCTTCCAGGTCGAGCTTGTTGTGTCGTTTTGTGCATGTGATGGGATCCCGCAGGTCATTCGCAGCTTGTTGTCCTCCGTGCAGCTCCTGAAATGAGGGCAGCACGGAATGTCAATCTGGAGACAGCTATAGAGAAAGGCTACAAGGCAGTGATGCTGGTGGAGGTGAAGAGTACCCCCTACCAACTCATAGGGGGTCTAACAGCGTCTAACTTCTTAGGCGGGGCTGTCAGACGGGCTCATTATCAGCTGCTGACGATAGTTGTCAACGTGGCATAACAGCCAGTTAGACACTGGGTTAGAGGCTGTCTTGTCCTGTTTGGCCCTGTGACTGACATATACCTGGAGCCCACACTGTTAACAGTTGTCTGCTTCTAGGGACTGTTAGCAGCTGTAAGGACCTGTAACTGAGCACTGTCTGCCACAACAGGATATTGTTGACAGGATGTTACACTCTGGGTGGGTCACCCA